GGCTCTCCTAGGCCAGTTCCATTAAAATCACCCTGAAATTTGTTAGTACTATAAATTTTCAGGCTTCTCTCTACTTTCATTGAACAAGTGTCTCTTGCTGTGAAACTTTTGTAATCTATGTTTTCTAATCACCCAAATTCATACAAACGTTGGAGAGTTCTCTCTTGATTAAAAACTTCTTTATATTCCCATAAATACTCCAGTATTCAAAGTCCTCATCCAGACTATTGTGATGCCTTCCTATCTAGTTTCCCTAATTCTAGACATTTTTCAGTTTTGCTCTCCTCACATACCAGGGCTCTATTCTTTCAACAATGCGTGAGAAAGAATGATTACAAAGTCCTCATTGCATGTAAAATTAAGCACAAGCTATTAGTCTTATTGTCATGACTTCTTCTTTCTTTGTCTAATCAACCTATTCAGTTTTATCATCCACAATTAAGGTTCATGCCCCGTACCCTCTATCTTATAAGGAATCTTAATTTACTCTCTAATGCTGGAGGGAAAAAAAAATTGACCCATCCAAAATTCTAATCTCCTCAAAGGTTTTGGAATGACTGCTAAATTCACATACCATAAAAATGACTCTCAAACTGTTATTCATGAATGTATCCTGAATGTAATTGTAAGTTACATAAATCTATCACATCTGAGCTAACAATAATGTCGCCACAGGACAAAACATTTTGTTCTGGGAGTGGTATATGGCTGATGAGAATTCATCTAGACAGCTCCTTTATTCTCAATTCTATCTTCACAAGTTCCTTAAGACCCACCAACAACCATTTTCTCAAATGCTAATTCCCCTTCCTTCAGATATGGCTTCTAAGAGAATGAAGAGAAATAGTGATTTCCTAAAAAGTAGCATTAAAAAGTAACTTCCTTTTGTCTTTCAAATCTCCTTCCTATCCATCTGTTTCAGGGCACCTTCTGTTCCTAATAGCATCCCCTTGACAACCACCTTGTCATTCAACTCAGTTACTCTAAAGCAAAGAAAGTTAAGCAATGGTATCACTGTCCATTTCAAGTTTGCCAGGGATTCTTAAAGGATTCATGATTTAACTTTATAATTATGGTCTACTCCATTAGAACTATCATGTCCTTACACTAATCTCAATGATTAAGGAATATTACAGGTTCTCAACATCCTGGATATTTGGTCAATTTAAATAAACAGAAAGAGGTAGCATTTTAGGTATTTTAAGTGTAGTATTAGGTGAGATAAAACTTTCTAGTATTTTAAGTTTCATTGACTACCCTTTAGACTAGTTTTTGCCAAAAAAAAAAATTTGCAAAAACATGTCATCTTAACTCCAGTCCATTCTAGCAGAAACCAGGAAGAAAAATTAAGTGTTCTTTTTTTTCTTTTGCTTATCAGTTATTATCTTAGTCCTCAAAATATAAGAACTAAGCAGTGACTCAATATAATCTTCAAAATAACAGCTATTGATATGCATTCTTTTTCAGCATTTCAAACTTTTAAAACAATTTTTCTAAATATATGATTCTTACATCATTTATCCACATGATGATACTGAACTTAAAGGGAGACTGGCATCATCTTTGTAATTTGAATATTTCAGGGACATCCTGAGATTTAAATGAGAATATGCCAAATTATATAATTCATATATATTTACCTTTTTACCAAAGCAATTGAGGAGTTTCAACTTAAGAATACTCCTCATGCTGCTCTGTCCGGATCCACTATCAACTGAGAATTCAAAGGCTCACTGTTTTGACTTTTAGAATTTCTTATGATAGAGAGTTTGTGTCAGAAATATAGAAGTATGCCTTTCACTAGCAATGACTCAAAAGAGCATAGACGAGTAAACAGTGACTTCTCATGATAATCTTTGCAACTGCTAAATGGCTAGTCTAAAATTAATCCTTATATTGAGTTCCTAATATACTTCAGTACCGAATGGCTTACATATTTCATTTATCATCAAATATTTTGTTTCAAGTTACACTTGTTTATGAGAAAATCTACCTAGAGAAGCAGCCATAATCTTAAACACGCAAGTAATTTGGTTTTGACATCCAAGATTGTACTGACACTATTAGACTCCTACTCTTTAAGCAAAATCATACCTAAGTCATCAAGTATCTTAAAGATGCAATTTATCAAGGCAAAAATACTAATGTGTCCAACTCAAAAGTTATAGGTTTTGGGGCTGACCTAATGTGAAAATTTTAACAACATAGTCTACAGCTGTAATTTATACTATTTGAGATCATTCATAGAAAGAAAAAAATTAAGTGTATAATTTACCCTATCTAGCAACTCCAATATTTTATAATTTATATATTTAATTTTGAATGATTATTTTGAAGCTCAGGGTAATTTTCCTTTAAACTTGTGTTCATTTTCTTATATATCCAATTTCAAGAAATTTTACCTGATGAGATGAGTTTATGGTTATTTTTAAAAAGACAAGTACAAACATATTTTTTTATTTTTCTTTTGCAACCAAAGAATGCACTTCTGTTCCAATAATCTTCATGGATATTTTAACTTCGTTATATTTCAGAATGGTAAAAGCAATTTAAATCCCATTGTGCTAAAAGTCTATCATTTTGAAGACTATGTTTTCTATAAAGATCTTTTTCAATTTCATATTTACCATGAAATATATCTTTGTTATGTGCTATTCTACATTGTGAAGTTTTTTTACGCGAATAAATAAACCTTTATTGAAAAAAAAATAACTGTAAATGTAACTACCTTATACAAAAACTTAGACATAGATATTGTCTCTCTCCAGACTGTTGGCAATGTTAACATTGTTTCCTCGTAGAATTACCTCAATGGTGTTTGAAATTTTCCTTGAATAAGTTTTATATTTAGCATATTGTTATGGTTACAATTTGTTTGATTTTGTGTTTATAAGGTGATATTTTTAAGCATTTTTTTTACACCTTTGCATCTGCACAATTCCCAGCAAAATGGAAGCTCAATATCATTTCTTGGCACCATAAACAGACAAATAATCAGACATATTTTATCTCTGTGGTTTTAGTTTTATCATGATAAACTTAATTATCTCTCTAGAACAGTATCAATTTTTATATCTACTATTTTTTGTAATGAAGGGAAAACAAGAATACTCTATGAGATAAAAATCTCATTGATCTGTCAATATGTATGTCAAACTATTGATTTGAAATAACTTAAGCTTTATTTGGAGGGAAGAATAAAATATGAAATTTGGATGTCCTGCTTGATCCATGTTTTGTAAATTACTTCTCACAAATTCAGGCAAAATATAGAAAAAAAATACATTGAAATCTTGGTTAAGAAGCTCACTTAGATATAGGTAGTACGTGTATTCTGGAGGATGAGCTCTTGGTGTTTTCAATGTAGCTTCTGGGAGTCACAATCTCATTACATAATTTACCTAAAAGTGCATCCATACATTCTTTTGAATATCTTATAACTTAGGACTTTATTAAAATTGTATATTTTTGATGCGGACAACAGAAAACTGAGTAACCCGTTAACACAATAGTATTGAAATATTAGTTCTTTTGTTACTTTTGTTGACTACACCATGGATATAAACAGAAGTAATGACAACTGCTATTTGAGTAGCAGAGTTCAATCTTTAAAAAGTATACAAACAAAAGAAAATTTAAGATCCTGTTTGATAGTTTTCAAATTGTGCACTGTATATTTTGGGTAAATGATTTTTTGAGGATAATTGATGATACAAATTATTTATAATTTCTGATGCTATATTTTATATATTTTGAATCATGCTTAAATATGTACATATATATACATATTCTGACATTGCAGTGCGTTAGAAAATTTAGCAATGATTATATATATATATATATATATATATATATGCGATGACCATATTGATGAAAATAGTTTTTAACACTTTCTCCAATTTTTCCTCAAAACTAATAAATAGGCAAATCATCAATCAGATATACTTCATCTCTGCAGGTTTAGATTTAATATGAAGATAAAGTATAATTGTCCTTTCAGAACCCTAACATAATATCAATACTGTATCTAGTCATTGTTAGTAATTAAGAGAAATAAGGAAAGCCTTGAATTGTTTAATCAATATATATTTCTTTTTTTGGTTAAATTTATTCCATGACTTAACTATATTTATAAATATGTGCTTCTTTCATACATATTTTATATTTGCATGTGCTCCATATTATATTGAAAAATGTATCAGATTACATTGGATACATTTTGAGAGAAATCCTTGCATTTCAAATCTTCACCAAAACATTAAAATGCTATAATCCAGTATATACATATTTTGGCAAACTACTTAAAAGGTTTTGATATCCATTACATGTTATATAAATATGAAAATTATCATGCAAAAGTACCATACTCTCCAGTTCTTCATTAAATAGAATAAGGATAACTAGGCATACAAAACTACAGAAATATTGAATTTAAGTTTCACATTCAGTTGTTTTCATGGCTTGAGCATTTCATCATAACCAAATGGATTTTGTCACAGTGCTTGCAATTTGCTTGAGAAAATTATATATACAAATGTGCATAACAAGTAAAGAGGTACAAATAACCTAGATCATGCAGAGGTACAAGGCCTCATGGTGGATATTTGATATGCATTACACATAAGCAATATTATACTTAGGAAAATATTTCAGTAGTGCTCAGTTTAGATAGATGTCTTTTGTGCTTTTTATTTTTTGGCCTGCTGCATGCTCTGTTACTTTGTTGTAGGTGATCCCTGAAAGTACAAATGTAAACCAAGCAGGGTGCAGTTCTAGCATAGCTGTGGCAGGAAAAAGTGTGACAGAAAGAAAGATATAGAGAAAGGAGGAGAGATGTGACTCCATGATAGTCAGCGGTAAATTTTCCTTAAGCATATTTTGGCCTTCTTACTCCTTTTGAAAACCTTGTTGTGGGGATTTCTTGATCCCTTCAGTGTATTGCGCAACCTTCTCAAGAGATCATTTAGCACAAGTTTCCACCTTGGAGTAGATCTTCCTACCTTTCCAGTCTTAATTCTCTGAGAAATGGCTGCAAACCGACGGTTGAGCTCAGAGATTTGCGGCTCTACTACTTTCCTGCAGTGGTCACCTCGGTTTGCCATCAAGTTTGCTGCTTGGTCACGTGTGGAGTCCACCTTTGGACGGATGTCATTCATTTCGGCCTTTAAACGCTATATTCCATGAGTAAGAAACAGGGCTTTAAGTTAGTAATCAAAACTGGAACAGACACAGAGGAAGAGAGAGAGTAAGAGAAAGAGATGGAGGGTGGGGCAGAGGAAAAAATGGAGAAGATGCCACAAGGAAAAAGTGTGCATATATCCAGAAGAACAGAGTGGGAAGAACAACACAAATTTCAATAAGAGTGAAGTGGAATGAAACTGTGTGTGAGCTTAAAATTACTAGGACAGTATTTTGAAGTTTCATATATGTCTCTTTAATCTGTCTACCTCCTCTAAGGAAAGACAAGGAAAAATGTCCTGGCTTCTAGTTATTGTCTGGGAACAAGTGTGTTATTATGCATTTAGTCTTATTTCCTTTTATCCTTACTGGAATTAATAGTTATGGCACCAGTGAATTATGTGCTCCAGAGGGAAAATACTGGAAGCACAATTTTACATTCTTCTCTGATGCATCTCAGATCTTCTTTATTTTCTTCGATATCAAGGGAAAGATTGATTCCCTAGTACATAAATATTCTGCATTGCTTATAAAAGGAGATGGGATGCACATAAACCAACAGCCAAAAGCCCATATGTCGAATATCCAGTTTAGATAATATTAAAATATTTGCATGAATTTTACATTTACATGATACCCTTGATTATAATCAACTACCAATTAAAAGTATAGAGTAAAACACAAATCCATTCAAAGACATAATCCATATAGTGAGGTTAATATTCATGAGATATCCTAGAATGTCTTTAATATTTTAATAGAAAAAGAAATTAATTGACACAAACACAAAAAAATAAGAGCTGATTATGGTGGAGTTCAGCTAAGAACTCCACACTCTTGAAAGACTGACAAGAAGTCTGCAAATAAAAAGGTAATGTATGTTACATAATGCATTCACGTGACTAGCTTACATAATTTAAGAAGATCCTGTTTCAAAAACTAGTAACTGAACTAAAGGAAAGACAGAAAAGACAATAATAGCTGAATTTTGAAGCAGTAATAATTATCGTGTATTGTTTAAAATTTCAACCAAAAATATACTGAATTATTAATTTAAATGAGATCTGACTCTTTTAATTTCATTGAAAAATAAATAAAATAACATCAAATAGAGATAAAGTATCAAGAAGATATAGTTCCAATTTATATATCTTGTTATAGAAATCATGTTTTAAAGCAAAGTTTAATTTGATCTTGTAACATAAAACATAGTATGCCTGAATAATAAATTTAAAAATGAGATAACCTATTTTAAAATGTTACTTTTCTTTACATATGCATGATATTAAAAATTTGGTTTATATAAGTTGTTGATAATGGACAATATCATGTCCAATATTCCTTATCCAAAATGCTTTAAAAATTTATTTATGTTTTTTCTAAAATATATGCATATCCACAATGTGGTATCTTAATGATTGGTCCAAGAACAAACAAAAATTAATTTATATTTCATAAATAAGTATCAATTTATCTAAAAGTTAATTTTCTGTAATATTTTAAAATAATTTTGTAAATGAAACAATGTTGAAAGTTATAATATATTCTACTGTGAAAGGATAGAAATATTTTTTTTAAAGCTCAGAGTCTGGAACACTCTGAACTTAGTGTTTTTTAGACCAGAGATACTGAATCTACTCTTAGATTGGAATTTGTTACTGGCAGATAAAAAATGAGTATTTATTGTGGGCTATATGAATGGACACAAGAATACTGACATTATAATAAAAATGAATTTAAATGTGACAGAAAAATAAATACTCATAATTCTTTGTGATCTGAGATTGAGTGAGTATAGAGAGGTCAGACATGAACTTGAAAAACTATCTAAATTTTAGAATTCTGCAATGTCAGTAATTCCAATAAAAAAGGAAAATAGAAAGGAATGGAGGGAGCAAAATAGGAAAGAATGGTGGATGATCAAAAGAAGGAAGTGACACAGAAAGAAAAGAAATAGAGATGGCTAGATTTATAAAAAAAAAAAGTCTAGTCTTTGGTATTTTGTGTTTGAACATGATTGTTTTAACTTGTGCAGCTTGAAAACGACTTCTCATAATATTCTCTTTACTACCTTAAGAATGTCTTCCTTTTGTTGTAGTTTCTTCTTTTCAGATTCATCCAAAAGCTCATCTGTGCGAATGATCCACTTTGTGATATGTTGGACATTCTGATCAAAGGTTTCCATGTGTTTCTGGTATTCCTGAATTGTACAGAAACATGCCATTTTTATTGGTTAGACAAAATTCTTAGAACATTTGTTCTAATTTGTAGAAAGAAAAGAATGCAGTATTTAAATTGCCTTAAAGTCACACATCAAAAACAGAAATTAGTATTAAGTATTGTAAAATATCTTAGAATTGTGGTGTGATATATCAGTATATATAAATTGTAGTTGAATTTTAAAACAGAGACATTGTTCCTGAATTCTTATTTTCTCATTTTTATTTTGCTTTGTTTGTTTCCTTGTTGACAAAGAGGAGTGGAAAAGCTTCTGCCACTTTTCTTACCAACAAAAGGTTTAGCCATTCTTCTGCTCTAGAGGTGACAGCTATCCAGTTACTATTTAGAAGACTCAGTTTATCTTCCACCAAGGTTTCCTTCTTGCCCAACACCGCTTTCAATGCCTCTCCTATTTCTGTGACACTCTTCAAGTGAGCCTTCTGCTTCTCAATCTCTTTCTGAGTAGCCTGTAGGAAAAATTAACATTAAGCTTCGAGTAAAGCACCATGTGTAGCGTTAAGACTTAAACTTGTGAAAGGATTGTGAGTTTGGTTCCGATGCAAAGATTTGTAAGGCCATAAATCTACAACAATGTGTTTATGAATGATGAAATCCTTCCATATTTTTTTATTGTAGTTTCATTACTGGGTATACAGGATGTTTACTATTAAACAACTGTGATTGATTAATTAATCAAAATTATATATATTTAAAAACTAAGTCTTCAGATTTTTAATTTAATATTGTATGTATTTAATATTGTATGTTCATTAATTTAATCATGCATTGGCTAATGACAGACAATTTAAGACTCATTTAAAAATAAATACTGTTTTTTAGAAAACTAAACAACTATGGTTCTAATATTTGACTGCAGCAGTATTATCAGCCTTTTGGAGATATAAAGATTTTTGATACCTCATTAAACTTAATGAACCCTTCTCATAATGTGTTCTAAAGTATGAAATAAAAATACACAAAACTGATAAAAAGAGGAAAAGTCATTTTTAAAAGAAGCCAATGTTTTAATAACCAAAATCAATGTTAAAACAAAACAAAATCACTGAGGAATAGCAATAATAAATCAGGGTAAATTCACAAGTAGAATCAAATAAAATTAAGTATAAACAAGTACAGAAGTGTTCTATGCAAGGAAGCTATCTCTATCAGACAGCAGATTTTTCATTCCTAGGTGTTCTCAAAAAGTCTTTTCTGAATACATCACAATTCCTTATAGTGATCTTTTCTCCATACTATCAGATCCTAGTCAACTCCTGATGCTTGAGTTCTGTTTTTGTTAAGTCTCAAAGTCATCCAGACAAATGATTAACTGTGATGCCTATTAAAATAATCAGATCAGACAGTGGTCACTACACTCTCAGCTAGTATCAATTACAGAGTCCTGGCTCTTCCACACTTCCCACACCTACTCTCCACCCTAAACTTCCCTAGGCCCTAAGGATCTTTCCTTTTCCCAAACTTCTCTTTCCTATTTAACTTCAGCCATTTTGGCTACATGGTCTCTTGTTTTTTGGTCCTCACTTGGTTCTCTTTGCCCTTTTGGTCTTCTTTTGCTTCTCCTCTCTTCTCTTCTTCTTTTGCTGACCCCCCTCTTTTTTTCCTTTCATAATGCAGTCTGTTCTGTTGGCCATTTTCAGCCTGGACTTTTCCAAATGCCTCTGGATGTCGTCTCCCTCATATTTAAAATAAAATCCTCCTCAACCATACCTAGAAGCAGTCATGTCCTTATTTCCAATCATTTTTATTTTTGGACATCAAATCAACAGAAAGAATAAACATGCTAAAAACAACTATTGAAAAAATAATTATTAATGAATATTCATTTTCACATATGGATTTTTATGTTTGGATTGCGGTTCTCATTTTAGCATTAAAATACCAGTACTGAGATAACTTGTGCCAAAGAATTTATCTGCTTGACAGAAATGATTACTTATAATGTAGGTACTGTTTGTTGTACATGAGTGAAACTAGCATTTCATAAAATCAATTTGTAACATAATTACACATAATAATGAGTGTTTATTGTATTCCTCTTAGAATCCAGACATCATTGTAGAATTGCCACAGATAATACTATTAAATGTCTTTTGGAATATGAAAATACCAGGTTTGGGAAGACATAGTTCATTGAGTTCATTGAGAAATGAATAGACATGGACTAGATTTCAACTCTGTAAAAAAAAAAAAAACCTTCTGTAAACTAGTGGGCAAAATATATTCTTTACAAATATAGAAGGTGACCATTGTTCTAGGTATGAAAGATAAAAATGATATAGAAGAAAATATCATTCCTGCTTTTATAATAAATTATACTTAGGGTTTTGTTTGTTTGATTTTCCCTCAAGTTTCAATGTGTAAGCTCCTTACACTGATATTAAGGTGAGGAAAAAGTAAGATTATATGCACAATGTTATACTTTGACCTAGTTGCCAATTGCATATACTTTTGGAAACATAAGAAAATCAAAATTGGAACTGCTTAGGTGACAGCAAGGAGTTTTATGATGCAGCAGAAAATGATTAGCATAAGTAGAATTCTACTGAAACAATAATTTCTGCAAATGTTAAAATTTTTGAGTACACTATATGAGTAGGCAAGTGCAGAAATACTAAGAACTAAGTTTTATAATTTCTAGTAAACAAATGTACTATTACCTGGCTACTAAATAGTTAAAGGCTGCTATGCTTTCATTATCATGGTAAATTAGGTAAAACAGATTAATTTCTTCTTATAAAAATTTACATTGTAATTCCTTTAGTCACCTGTAAGACTGCACTTCCGGGTTCTGAACCCCGCGCATATACGTACCCTGTGCACATGTGTGGGTCACCCCCCAACTGCGTCACCAGCGTCTGATGCAGAAACCCCCAAATGCAGTGGCAGGGCACAGCATTGCCTCTCATCAGCATCTGAAGTGGGCATGTCTTTCCCCCCTTTGCGCATGTGCTGAGGAGCCTTTAAAAACTAAATGTGCCATTCCCACGCTCTCTCTTCTCCCCCTTCTGTCCACAGCGTTTTGACCGAGCTCGTGCACCTAATCTTCTTAATAAACTCGTACACGTGGGTTCGTTTGTGTCTCGTGTTCTCTCCTCATTTCCGCCGGACATTTTTATACATTGTAGTCATAGACAACGTGAGAAATGTATTCAGATCAATTCCTCATAGGTAGTAGTGGAGGAAGGTGATTTTAGAAATGATGAGGTGCGTACACTGTAGTGAATACACTAAATCATGAATTCACATTTTGATGGGGAAACCTACTCTGTTGGTTTCTGTTGATGTTCTTATTTTTAACTTTACACGTATAAAAGTTATTACAATAATTATCTTATTTTACATAAACAAACATGTAGTCACTATTCTCCAGGAACACAAGACAGGCCTTATTTGTGCTTGAAAACATCCTACTATCTCAACTATATATTCTTCCAAGTTTTCAATGCCTCTGAAAATTTCCCATGATAATTATTCTAATGATAGCTTCTATATATAATGGCACAGTACACTCATTCAATCCTTTTAAAACAATTTCTTAATGGCAGTCTGCTTATAGTTTATATTTCTAGCTAACCACACATTTATCTGAATATCTACTTTACAGGCATTTATTACATTATCATCCCCTTTACTAGGATACTACCATAATTTTATTTTAGTTATTATTTATGTCTTATGCATTAAAATGTATATGAGAGACTAACTAAAACAATATGCTTATAAAAGACATCTTCAAATGTTTGGCCATACAAGTATATGTGTAACCACCCTAGCATTTCTAATCATGAGAAACTGGGGGTGCGGGAGAACTGTCTGTATTTTGTCAATCATGTTATAAATAAACGCTGATTGGCCAGGTAGGAAATATAGGCAGAAAAACCAGACAGAAAGTAGAAATGATGTAATGAGAACAGGAGAATTCTGGGAAGGGGGAAGTTGATTCCTCCCACTCCTGCCAAGACCACCCCCAAAGCAGCAGGATGTGATCTGCCCCACTGAAAAAAGGTACTGAGATACATGGCTAACATAGATCAGAAAAATGGGTTAATCAAGAGGTGAGAGTTAGCCAATGAGAGGCTAGAGCTAATGGGCCAATCAGCTTTATAATTTATAGAGATCTATGTGTGATTTTGTTTGGGACTAAACAGCTGGGGGACCGGACAAGACAAAAACCCCCAAAACAAGCAGGCCTGGCCCTTCATGTTACAGGGCAGTCGAAACAAAATTAAAAGATGGAAATTTATCATGTTGAGATTTTTAAATTTTAAATGACAATCTATATTTACCTTTAAATTGATAGTATATGCATGCTGTGTTTCTCAAGAGTGCATAATACAATCTAACATGCTTTACACATAGTGGAATTTTAAATTAATTACTTTTTTGAGACCTTGAAATTATAATGGCTTAACGTTGCAGGACATATTTTATTCTTAGACTATGCAACAGAATAAGTTTAAGAATAATATAAAACATTAAAATTTGGATTTTATAGCAATGGATATTGAGTTTTTATTAATAATGCATCATGTAGTAAAGATTTTCATGAAAGCAGAATGTGCAGAACAGAAATTATAGCCATAACTATAATGACAGTGAATAGTGACTTCAATGGCATTTAACAGATGTTCTATTTTCTAAGTAACAGCTGTTTGATGCATTCATTGTACCAAGTTAATGATCTGCTAGTGATATTTCACTTCACAGATTAATTACTATGCTCTCTTTTAAAACAGATATGTAATTTTTCATGGGAATGATAGTGTAACAGACTTTAGAAATAAGAAATGGTTCTCATACTTTTGTAGTTAAGAGGGTGATGAGATGAGGCAATTATTCCCACAAACTAGGAAGAGAAATTAGATTTCTTTAAACAGTATAAGTTTAAAAAAAAACACAGAACATAATTAACAGATATGGATATATACCCCATCAGACTGTTGAAATGAATGGATCTTATATTAATGATATTTTCCAGTGGTGCACAACTGTGCAGAATACTGTGGTGCTAACTACTTTTGGGCTGACCAATTAAACATGAGACTCCAAGTCTACTCATTTGTTTATTTTGCAGCTTTCCCCCGTAGCTTCTACTTGTTGCTAAGAAACCTCTGTCAAACAGAAAGACATTTTGAGATGAGGTTGTATGGGGTAGTAGTAATCATTATATTTTATCATTGAAGTGGCAAGAAAAAAGGTAATTTAGGAAGCTAATAACTGTCCTTTATGTTGAGCTTTGTAAATGCTTAGCCATTAAATAAAAGTGAAAAGTAAAATATGTTATTTCGTAGGTGGTTATTTAAATATTGTCAGGTCCAGAGGTAACTCCATTTCCCCAAATTATTGTTTTGGTTAGACAAAAGCCAATATTCCTTAGGAACTTGCAAAGTAGGTTCCTCTATACAAAAAGTAGCAATTTCCCTAATCACTGGCAGAGGAGATAAATAGCTATCAATGGTGGCTATTAGCATACCAAAGAGCATGCTGGCTAAGGCTCCCTCAGTATCACAAGTACCTGCTACACATCAGAGTCCCTGCTGGCATCCTGGCTCTTCTTCCCTCCCCCTCACCATCTACTATGAATTTAGCTCAGGAGCTTCCATCGCCAGTTACTCCTTATCTTTGATAAACCTGCTATTCTTGTTCCGCTTCCTTTTTTCTCTTCCTCTTTTTTGCCTCTCTGTTTTGCCCAAACTTAGTCTTATTTTGCTGTACCCCCCCCCTTTTTTTTTCTCTTGGTCTCTCTCCCTCTATCTAGCTCTCAGGACCAGTCTGCTGGCCGTGTTCTATCTTGTACTTTATCTCTCTACTCTGGACTCGTCTAGATGCTTTTGGCTATTTTCTACCTCCTAGCTATAGTGCTGTTAGTATCAATTTATACTGATCAGTTATTTTACATTTTTTAATATGCTGAATAGAATTCAATGTTTCTCTTTTTGATTCTGTTAGACATCAACTCCTATAAAACAATGCAATATTTATTACAAAGAAACTAATGGATACAAAATAGCATAGGACAAGAACATTTTAGGGAATCATGTCTAACTCAGGTTTTAGATGGCACTGTGAGTTTAGAGAGCTTATTTAAATTATTTGGAATTTTCAATGATGACACTAAATTAAAATAAATAAAATCTGTTAGTGGTTAAACCAGAAACATATAAATAAATAAACTTAGAGCTGCTACTAAAATTGATCGTTAAGTAAATATCTATGTATTCACATAAATATTTACTTTTATGTATCTCGGGTAAGATGCTAGACAAATTTGTTCATTAATGAGATACTTAGAATTGATTTTCTTGTATATAACTAATCACATTTATTTTTAAAGCATTAAAAATACTATTTGATGATTGAGCAAAGTGTTGTTTACTTGTAATCCCAGCATTTGGGAGGATAAAGCGGGAGGATCATATGTTTAAAGTTACATCATATAGAAGGCTATGTTGACTATAGAAGTGTCAATAAAAAAGTAAATAAAAGACATAACTGCTTCCAAGGAGTTGAGTTTTTTTTTTTTTTTTTATTATAGATAAAAGTAAAACAAGCAGAGGTAGAGACATCTGGGAAGCTCACAGTGAACATGCCTGGCAAATTGGACCAGGCCATATGAGGAGTGGCAGAAGGAGAGAGGAGAGAGTCAGAATACAAAGAGGTCAGGAGGCCAAGAAACCAAAAGGGTTAAAAAGTCAAAAGGGTCACAGGGACAATGTAGTAAAAATGTGTTGAATAGGAACAGAGTGGGAGATGAAGACTCAGTCTGTGGTCATAACTCCAGAATACTCAAACCTCCTATAATTTAAAGAACTTACCAAAAGCCATTGTGATGTGAAATTTTAATGCTTTTTGTTTTGGTTTGATTTCTGTTTGTTTGTGAAGTTAATGGAAATATACCTCTTCAGAAAATTGCGAAAAAATCCTTATGAGGATTCCAAAGAAAAGCACATTTGATGTAAGTTTAAATTGTCTCCTAACTTGCTTATAAAAGGCAACTAGCTGAGTTTCCAAATCTTTCCGTGTCTAGATCTTGTTCTTTATGCATCATTACAGAAATCTTCTACATTGCAGGTCTTTTCCCTTGTCAGATTCTGTTTTATATTCCCCATAAGTCACATGATAAAGAATAGCCTTTATAGCAATAGAACATTTACAGAGGTAACTATTACAATAATATCAAAGTGATAACGAATCTATATGACTAGTGTCATCATAAGAAGATTAATTTGGCATCCAGATATGCCCATAGATGTGACTAATGTGAAGAATGAAAATAGTTTGGACAGAATCAACTAAACTGCCACTTTTCTGAAGAGAAACAGGATAAGAAGGAGGGGATGAGGGAACAGATGGGATGAGAGGAAGGAGGGGAAACTGGTCAGTATATAAAATAAATACATTAAAAAACTACACCCTGATATATATGTTTAGTTTGGGTTGGGTTGTTTTATGGAGACTTATACTAGAAGATGCTAATCACTGATAATTTTTTATAGGTTTACAGGTTACGTGAAACTTTTTTCTCATTCTTTAGTTACTGCGGTAAAAGGTCAGTAAGATATTGCATTAGCCAAGATAATTATCTCTGAAAATGCTTTATCTATGTATCCATTTTAGTGCAAGGTCATTTAACCATGGTACAGCTTTGCTCATCTAAAGTCCATATTTTGTTACCAACTCTGGTAAATAGATAAGGCTACATTAGCTCGGACAAATGAAATAAGAGCAGGAATAAAGCATGGAGCTCTTACCATTCATCACTGAGAGAGAACTACTGTTCTCCACTTCATTATCTTCCTTGTGGGTGAAATTTAAAACTCAGCAGTAGTGAACAAGTTTTATGAAAAGAGTAGAAATAACCAAAGATTTTAAAAATATAACCAAAGGACTCTGAATGATTTCTTATGCCAAAGATACTTCCTTTACCCTGAACTGGTAAACTTATTTTCGATAACATCTTATCTTTATTTTCTCTGAAACATTGTACCTTGGCCGAATTTTTAGAATAGCCTAGATTGTAACTAAGCATATAATTGGTGATTTAATCTAAACAAACATATATAAAATCATTATAATGGTAGACTGGTAAGGGATATATGAAGCAAGTTCAATTTTAGTCTATATTATCTATTTTTCCTTATCATAATAATCTCATATAATATATGATTTTGAAACAACATCTGTAACTTGAAAGAATTATTCTAAGTGGAGAGAAAAGAAATGTAATCCACCACTATTTATATGAAAATTTCACCATTACAAATCCTGTAAATTGTCACAAAGAGAAATGGTTTAAAGTGTGGCATCATATTATAAGTTTTTGCATAATGCACTTTTTTCAGATTTGAAGCGTAATGTTTACCCTTACTAAACTAAATATAAGTGCAATTAACGTCCATAGCTAATTAATTGAAATACTTACTAATTTGAAGAAATGAGAGTAAGCATGTTTCTTAAATGGCCCAATGCCTTGGCAAAGTCTCAGATGAAAATTTGCTATTAATACCAGCTACATCAGCTACTTCCCTTTTATTAAGATAATTTCAAATACTCTAGTAATGAATCACCTAGGAAACTATTAAGCTACGAGTGTTTGACCTTAAATTCTAGGAAGCAATAAATGTCTTTCTGACTGTCAAGAGAAATGACAAGAATTTCCCAACTAGAACGAAAGTAGGTCAAATGCCCTTTGGTGACAGGAATGATAGAACCTTCACTGTTCCCTTTAGATTCTTTCTGGTTATGACCTTGGCAATATGCTGAACCGTCCACAATCACTGCATCTGGCTGCATCTAGTTGGATGTTGCAACTAGGCACACTAGTTTGAAATAAACTAGTAAAACATTGAACTTAATCACTGTGAATGATAGATTTAGACCATTAAATACACAAAATTCATTTAGAATACTTATAGAAGTTTGAACTCTGTGTTTTTAGTAATGTACATATTTTCAAGGATTTACTTATAACCCATTTATTCAGTGTATGCTTTGGGGTGATTGTTTGTAAAGTTTACCATTTCATTTAAATACCCAGTTAGGTCCTGATTAATTTTAGAGAAAAGTAAAAATGAATTGAAGCAATATTGATAATTCTATTACTGTTAGGCATTACTATTCAGTTATAAAATCGTTTCTTGTAAGTCATCATATATGTTAAAAATTACTTTCAATAATAAACAGTTTACCTTTCCCCAGGCAACCTCAGCATCCAAATCACTTGGCATTCCTTCAACGGCTGATCTCTTTGTCAGTTCCATATCTGTTGCTGCCAGCCATTCTGTCAAGACATTCATTTCCTTCCTCATCTTGCGGGACAATTTCAAGCATTTCTCCAACTGTTGCTTTTTTTCTGTTACCTAAATATAATAATAACATAGCAAATAATAATAATAACATAGCAAATTTGGCCTACTTTGTAAGTCAAGTTTATTTGCAGTCATTTGATTGTAATTTTTACATTGCCAATACTGTAAAATAACTATTTTCTTACATGCTGTTTCCATCTTATTTTAGAAAAGTCATGTAGTGGGGAAATTAATAGTAAGTGAAAAGTCTTCACCAACTAACATGCTTAGCCAAAATGCAGCATCTGGTATCTTCTGCAATGATAGCACAACAACAGAAAACAAAGTAATTTGTTTCTAAGTAAAAGAAAAACAGCATTTATTGCCAAAGTTTAGAATAAATAGAATAATACAAGTCAAACTGAAGACATAACCTATTTGTCATAGGAAACCTATTGTCATTTGAGAGAGACACGGACAAACGGGATTACAGAATTCATAATGAAAATGAATCTTTCTCATGTTTATGGGGCTATCAAAAAGGAATATTTATTTACAGAGGCAAAAAAATTTGAGCAATATATAGAATTACCAATTTCATCTCCATTACATTTTCAAATTACTTTTGCATAGAATACCAACCACCACTTTTTCTTAAGGAGATTTTCTATCAAAAAGGGCAAAATAATTTTAAAACTAAAAATTTTACTCATAACATTTGAAAAATGATTTTGTATATATACACATTTACTCCCAAGGTTTAAAACCTAAATCTTTCCAGTGGTGAGAATGTGGTGTTGAAATCTCCCGCTATTTTTTTTTTTTAATGAATGTGATGCCCTTATAATGGGGCACAAATGTTTAGAATTGAGACTTTATCTTTATGGATTTTTTCTGTGCTGAATATTAAATTTCATTTTCCTTTTCTTTTGATTAATATCAGTTTAAATGTCTATTTTGTTAGATATCAGGATAGCTACACTAGCTTCTTTCTGAAATCCATTTGATTGGAAAATCTTTTCCCAACTTTTTACTCTGAGGAAATGTCTGTCCTTGAGGATGAGGAGTGTTTCTTATATGCAAGAGAAGGATGGATCCTGTTTTTGTACCCTGTGCACAGTTAGCCTGTGACTTTTTATAGGCAAAATGAGTTTATTGATATAATGAAATATTAATGACCCATGAGTGTTAATTCTTGCTTTTTTTAGTTTTTGGGTGTTTTTTTTTTTTTTTCTTTTTGGTTTTAGTGGTGGTGATAACGTGTTTGTTTCCCTTCTTTGGGATTTGTTGGTGTGAAGTTATCTATTGCCTGTGGTTTTGTTGGTGTGGCTAACTTCCTTGAGTTGGCGTTTTCCTTCTAGTACTTCTATAGGGCTGGGTTTGTGGATATATATTGCTTAATTCTGGTTTTGTCATGCAATGTCTTGCTTTTACCATCTATGGTGATTGAAAGCTTTGGCTATATATATATATATACACATACACACACACACACACACGTGTGTGTGTATTTGTTTTCAGAAATGGCTTAAAACCTGTATATACAACTACATGTTAAATTTTATTTATACTACTATTTTCTTGGTAAAGAAAATCACAGAAAGATTTATTTGTTTTTGTTTATTGCATTTATTTTGTTTTTGAGACAGAATTCTCTATGTAGCCCTGCTGCATCAAAGGCATGTACTACCACTCCCCATTTAAGATTTTGTTTTGGTAATATATTATCTGAAAAATAGACTAACTTAAATTTAGTTCCAACTGTTATAAAACTGTATAAAGATATAAAAACAACAATACAAATTCATGCGTATGCTTCAGACTCTGGAGATATGTATGTGCATGAGTATGTGTAATAACTACTGGCAATGTAATTACATTTAAAGTATTGACCATGATATATAAATGCTGATACAAATATTCAAAAAATTGATTTTCTCCTTTACTATATACACACACACATATATATATGTATATATATATATATCTTGGATGCACATTCAAAATTTAAATATATATAGCCAGGTATATACATGCTCATGTGTGTTGTCGGTATTTAATTATAAAAGTGATTCTATGTGTGTACACACACACACACATATATATATATTCATTCATATATGTGTGTAAAGAGCAGAAGTCAACTTTAAGTGTTAGCTTAAAAAATACTGTCTATCTCCTTTGTAACAGTGTCTCTTATTTGTCTGTGAATCACTAATCAAATTAATAGCATTGGTATTTAGCCCAGAAATATTTATATCTCTGTTTCCCTAACATGGGCCTATAAGTATGAGCAACCACATCCAGTATGTTTATGTGGGTTCTGTAAATTCAAGTCAAGTCTTCATGGTTGTGAGACATGTGCTTCAATGACTGAGCCATCTCACCAGCGAGTAGACTCACTGCTTTCTTCTCTTTTTCCCTTATATTATTTCCTGGGTGGGGTTGGCAGTGGTAGTGGGGTGAATGACTGTGTTTATGAGTGTGTGTGTGTGTGTGTGTGTGTGTGTGTGTGCATGCATATGTGTGCATGCTTTCCTCTGCCATAGAGCATAGGTTGAATTCAGAGAACAACTTGTAGGATTTGAGTCTCTCCTACATTGTGAAGTTCCAGGGGTTGAATTAAAAGCATCAGGCTTGGTAGCAAGTTTCTTTACCAGCTGAGCCATCTCACTGGTCTATATTAAATATTTTAACATATTTTCATTTCTAATGTTTCCCCAGGAGAAGTATAAACCTTTAGCCTGCAAGGACTTTATTTCTGTGCAGGAGTCAAAAAAATAAAGAAAAAAAAACTTTATATCATGTTTCTGTGCATAGTTATTTAATTTCTAGTATTTGTAGAAAAGGATTCTAGATTCAATATTTCAAAAAGATCCAATTTTTATAGTTAATGCATTATTGATTTTTACTTATTTCATTTTGTTTATATCCAACCGAGTAGGATTTTATAAAACAGGAGATACTGCCACCTTAAGGAAATCTTTTTACATTGTCCTTGTCTGTGAGAAAGGCATATTAATATTTAAAAAGAATTCCAAACATCACTAACACTAAAGTACCTCAGTAGTTATTGTTTTGATGTACACTTTTTGATGTACCCCAATTTTTAATTAGATTATTTGGTTTGTTGATATCTTGTTTCTTGAGTTCTTCATATATTTTTCTATATTAGTCCTCTGGTTTAATATGGTGTTGGTACAAATATTTTTCCATTCTATAGGTTGATGTTTTTTTCTATTGACAATATTCTTTATTTTATAAGTTCTTTCCAGTTTCATGATGTCCCATTTATTAATTTTGTTGATCTTGGTGCCTCTGCTACTGGTGTTCTATGCAGGAAGTTGTCTCCTGTGCCAATGCATTCAAGTCTTTTGCCCAAGTTCTCTTCTGTTAGGTTCAGTGTATCTGCTGAAGTCTTTGATCTACTTGGACTTGAATGCTCATGGAGATAAATATGGATCTATTTTCATTTTTCTACATGCTATTATCCAGTTTGATAAGCATCATTTGTTGAAGATGCTATATTTTTCTTTACATTGTATATTCCTGGATTCTTTGTTCGTAGGTGTGCAAATTTACATCTGGGTATTCAATTCAATTCCATTGATCAATCTGCTTGCTTTTATTTCAGTACCATGGTCTTTACTACTATTGTGGGGTATAACAACTTTAAATCAAGAATGGTGATACCTCCAGAAGTTCTTTTATTAACAGGATTGTTTTACTTATCCTGAATTTTATTGTTTTGCCTATGAAGTTGAGTATTATCCTTTCAAAATCTATAAAGAATTGTGTTGGAAATTTGATGGGATTGCACTGAATTTGTAGACTGCATTTGGTATGACAGACATTTTTCCTAAGTTGATCCTACTATTCCATGACCATGGAAAATCTTTCCATTTTCTGATAGCCTCTTCAATTTTTTTTCTCAAAGAATTGTAGTTTTTAAGCATAGAGAACTTTCAGTTGCTTGGTTAGAATCACACCAATATATTTTATATTATTTGAGGCTATTGTAAATGATGTTGTTTCCCTGATTTCTTTCTCTGTCTGTCATTTATATATAGAACGGCTACTGATTTTTGCATTGACCTCATATCCAGATACTTCCTTGAAGGTATGTTCAACTGTAGAAGTTGTTATAATCTGCTGGCCTGGTCTGTCAACTGGGTGCTTGTCCCTTTAAGAGACAAGTTCTGCCCACCCCCAATCTTGTCCCCTCCTGCTGAGGCAAGCTGAACTCATGCCTTCTCTCCATCCTCTTTCTCTTTCTTTCCCCTTCTTCTAGAGAGGAAGCTTCTGCCCCTCTCCCTTCTCTCCACTTTCTCTCCTTCCTTTCTTTTCCCTTTCCATACACTTCCATAACTGACTAGATAAACTCCATACCCAAACTCTCTGTGTATGGTATATTTATCTCTCACCCTGTGCAGTCTTCCACTGACCAAGGGGACACACTGAGGCCTCTCTGGACCTGTCGAGGCCTCAGGTGGCCCACTGTTGCCTCTCATGGGACTGCTCCCCCTTGTGGGACTGGTCCCCCACCACCATGTGTTTATAAATAATAACATTGGTGCATGACTCAGCCAGGCTTTCTCCACATTCCTTCCTGCCCACAGGTGGACTGGCCAAGGACTTGTGGGGACCCTGGACTAGGACCATTTTCCAACATCCTGTGCCTGCTCCATCACTGCAAATGGTAAGGTTCTCTTTGCCAATTCCCCTTACACTCACATTCACCTCTGGTTGCTCCCCATGGCTAAAAACTGAGATTTGGCGCCACCGCTGTTTGGACTACTCAAAAGTGGTCCTGTCCACACTGTTCGGATTTTCTTTCCTTTTTTTATTTTTTCTCTCTTGAAAGTGGTCCTATCTACCACCGTTTAGGTTGCTAGGAGCATTTCTATCTTGCCCCCAATTTTCTGTACTGACTGTCTTGAAATGGGGGCTGGCCTAACTCTCAACCCGCGTGCTATTCCAGAAACGTCCGATTACTTGTCTTTGGGGTTTTGCCTTTCTCACATTTTTAACCATGGGAGACAAACCCTCAAAAACTATCCATCCAACCTCCC